TGGCGACTGACTTGACAGCCTTAGGGCAGTAAACGAATACGACGTATATATATATATATATATTAGGTACAGGGTGGTGAGTGTCCACTGAATTCCGTCTTCTCTCTCGAGGCAGAACCATTGCGGTAATGCATGTCATGTCACGAGTCTGCATTGACATGCAGAGCTGGAGCTGCCGGCCTCGAGTGTCAACGGGAAACATGCAATACGTCGTAACGGCCATCAGGAGCGTCTGCGTCTGCGTCTGCATACGCTATATATAACATGACTGCCTGCCAGGCTCACCGGCCGCCGACAGGATTGATAGCCGTGCTGATCGGTATAGTACCATTGCGCGATGGTGGTATTCTGTAGAGACGTGGGACGTTGGAGGAATAGAAGGTAAAGGCGACTTGAAGCAGTGATGGAAGAGGACTGGTAGTCGTACTGCGGCGGCCAAGAGGCATTGCTTCGACCTGCTTCACAGTTCAGGGCTGTAGGAGCCGTACTCCTGGTCCCGCCGTGGGGCGCTTGGCGCCATCTGGAAATGTGGCGCCATAAATGCGCTGGGCAGTACAGATACCTGGGCAGTATTATTACGGTATTACGGTATTACCTGGCTCCTGGGCAGCAGCAGGAGGCACGGTCCATGGAGACCTGGGCGACCTGCTACTGTCCCTAGGGCAGCGCTCGGCACTCTCTGGGGCACCCACAGGCCACGGTGCAACTCGCTCCCCCCTTGTCCGAGCTTAGGGCGGCCGAGGGACGGTAGGTAGGTAGGTAGGTAGGTACTCAGACACAAGCCACACCAGCTGGAGAGGCTCGCCCTGTTTAGGCGCTGGATGGACAGCTGCAGCATCCCTGTCTGGGCCTCTGCTGGGCCCCAAGGGCCAAGGTTGGAAACTCCAAAATCGTCACCTCGTCACGACGCTCCGTCCAAGTCCCAGTCGCGCCCTTCCCAGACCAGCTGCACCTTCTCTCTCTCTCGACGACCGTATCGGCTGCCTTTCCTTTCTTGAATTCGTTTTTCGGGGTGCAACCGCCAGTCTCCTTCGACGCCTCCTACAAGCGGCTTCTTTTCCGGCCTCCCTCTCCACCCCTCCTCCCCTCCTCTCCTCCCCCCCCCTCTTCGACTCGGGAGCTTCCTTTCTGAAAGTCGGCTACAAGCTTCCACACCCACACACACACACACGCACTCAACAGAGTCGTCTTTTTCTGTGCTTGTGTCCTGCCCCTCCTCCCCCTTGTCGACGACGCTGCCGCGCACCTATTAGGGTTCTGCCTCGCTTTCCCCGACAAAGATTCGATTTCTCGGCTCTGCCACGCCTTTCCATCCATCTCTCTTCACCTACCGATACGTTCATCTGTGCCTACCCACGAGCCCACTCTCCTCGACCCCCGACCCCCGACTACGTGTTAGCTTGAGCTTTGATATTTCCCGCCGGGAAAAGCACCGTGGCTGGTGCCGTGCCTTCAAACTACTTGCATAGCTGGATACCGGAGTCTCTGTCTTTCTCCTTCCCGGATTGGATTCTGCAGGTCTGATCGAAATGCGCCGTGAGTACATCCTTTCCGTCTCTCCGTCTCTCCGTCTCCCCTCTGCCCCCTGCAGTATCTACCCGCCTGTGGCACCCTGCTGCCCGGTCCTTGTTTCGTTTCCAGACGGAGATGCATCATGTCCGACATTCTGCCATATGCTATGCGTGGCCAATGCCCCCAATCGTCACGTGTACCCGTTGGTCGTCTCAAACTTTGCTTGCTGGATCCTGCGTCTGGTCCGTGGGAGCTTGCTTACCTTCTGGGCAGATGACAGACTGTTGATGCGCGCACTTCTCTCTGATGTAGAACCAAGCTAACGTAACCATGAAAGTTCTCGTCGAGGATACCTGGATAAATGACCAGGCTACGTAAGTGCCGTCTCCCAAGCTGCCCATATGACGCTTGGCCCTGACCTTCTTGTCTAGCTCTTCCAATTTGAGCGAGTTGGCAGACTGCTCCATCGCGATTGACGCAACCTACTGGCTCTCCCAGCTGCTCGACAGTTCCGCAGCTAATGAGCCCTTGCTTCCTGCTCTCGGCGGCTTGACGGGCATCGAGACGCATATCGAAGAGGCCCTCGATCACTGGGAAGAGAATGCCATCATCCCCTTCTTCATCTTCGACGGCCAGTCCCTCACAGGCCAGGATGAGGTCACACTCAAGCGCGCGCTAGCTGCAAACCAGCGTACAGATGAGGCATGGGACCTATATTCGCAGGGCGAGGCTGAACGTGCTGTCAAGAGCTTTGGTGACAGCCCTGGTACGCTACATAGACGAAATGGCGGCAGGATGTGCTTCGAGCCAACTGCATTGGAGCGTGCACTGACTTTTTTTTTCTTTTTCATAGGGGCCTATCGTGTACAGAATCTCTACTCTCTCCTGAAGGATATCCTCAACCGTCGTGGGTTGCATTTCTTAGTGGCCCCTTACAACGCGTGCGCACAGGTCAGTCCTGTTTCCCTTGTCCACCATGCTTGCCAGAAGCTGCCTTCGATGCTGACAGCGCGTACAGCTTGCCTATTTTGAGATGATTGACTCGGACCAGTGTGCTGGTGTCATGGGTCCCCAGGAGCTTTTGGCCTACCCAATCAGGGACGCCATCATCCGCAGCTTCAACTGGGAGGCCAAGACGGTCTCCGCCATATCGAAGAGGAGGATCATGCGAACGCTGGCCGTCGGCGAGTCTATGCTTATCGATGCCCTTCTCATGAGGGGCACCGTCTTCCTCAGCCCCTTCCCACCCCTGCAGGAAAAGTCGATGTACCCCAGCTCACCCACCATTATGGATGTCGTGAATCTCCTGAGGACATCCGACAAGTCGGTCGCCAATGCCTGCGCCTCATTCAGTGATATTCTTAAGCAGAGTCAAGAGCCTGAGTGGTTGGACAAGTACCGCAAGGCGCGGTTGGCCGTTCAGCACTTTATCCACATCACCGAGACGGGTGAGATCGGTGTCAATGACTATGACCACCTCACCCAAGACAACCACGAGTACCTCGGCCTGCAGATCCCCCCCGAGCTGTTCCACTACCTCAACACCGGTCTCATCGAGGGGAGGATCCTGAACTGTATAACACACGGTCAGATCCTCCTTCAGCCGACATTGGATGGAGTGGCGTCGGACGAGTATAAGAAGCTTGTCACGACGAAGATCATTCCCATCAAGGAGCAGACGCTGGGTCTCATGATCCCTCGCGTCCACAGGGGAATAGGACACAAGGCCATCACCCTACGGGTCTGGTATGACCCCAAGTTCTCGTACAAGATGAACCACGGCTCCCTGAACCCCCCTCCTTCTCAAAAGGTCGGGTCGTGGGATGTCAAGGAGGAAGACATCCGCGCCTTCTACCCCGCCGACTTTGCCGGACCCGTAGCCATGGAGGTGCTGTCGCTCGTTAACACTGACTTTGTGCCCAAGACGGTTGCCTCGAGCAAGTCGATCAAGGGCATTGACAGCACCGAAATGGTGACATCGGTCGCCATCTGGCGTTTCCTCCACCTGAGGGGCTACGTCGACGACTCACACAGGCTGACAACGTGGGGCACGGCCATTGCCGCCACCTTCCTGGCGTTTAGTGAATCCATGGAGGGCCTCTCCCCCGTCTCCGGCATCGACGAGGCAGCGCTGCTCGCCTTCGAGCTGGTCAAGCTTGGCGTCCTGGACGGACGCGCCGCCAGGTCCCAGCCTGGCTATCCCAGGAACGGTAGCGATCAGGATAAGGCTGCCTTGTCCCTGATATCCCAGTGCGCCACCCTGCTCAAGCTTAGGCACGAAGCCTATGGGTACACCGGACCGCTCAACAAGAGCCTCCTGTCATTCCGTTCCCTGTCGTCGACGGTACGAGAGGCTGGCCGTGACCTTGTCGAGGCCATTGTCGCTTCCATGTTCCTGTTTGGCCAGAGCCAACGGCAACGGAGCGACCACGTCGAGATCAGTAGGAGGCAAGTTGAACCCACAATGTCTCGGATTGTACCGATGAACTTGACCGCTGACTATCATTCACAGACTGCCCTTCTCTAGGGAGCCGGACATTGGCCTCGGAATAGCTTTCCGCACCTTCTTTGATGACGACGTGGCGACGGATAACACCGAGGCACGAGCCGAGCGGCTCCGGGAGTTCCCCAAGACGTTTGTGCCCCACGCCGAGGCACTGGAGGAGGACTTCCGCGCATGTGTCGGCTTCTTCAGCGCGCTGAATAAGGGGATACAAGTGCTCGATAACAGCGAGCTGTCGGCGGCGAACAAGGAGGTGTGGGCAAGAGCCCAGGCATACCTGGATGCCAGGCCGTTCTGATGATGGGAGGGAGGGGAAAAAAAAGGCGGAGAGGCACTGCGCAGCACGTTGGAAGATGGGTTGTATGGTATTCTGATAAATTTCCGCTCGGGTTGCTGTCACAGACATTGCATTCGGGAGCATTGTATACCACCTACCACTAGCCAGACTACGCAGTGTGGTGTAAAAGAAGAAAACCCACATCAAAAACAATTATAAAATCAAAAGCAAAAACATTGTGAGAGATGGGGTGGTGTTGCGACGGCACTCGTCTATAGCTCGAGTGTTCATCGCGCGCGACCCCTCAGTACCATTGCATCATGACTCAGTCGCATACACTGGCATCATTCTACTCTGCCCCGCGTACATCTATGATACACCTGTAGATGGATGGCTTTGTACATTCAATTGCTGTGTTGTACTGATACAAGTTTGGTAGTTACAAGAAGAAAAAAGGCAAAAAAAAAAAAACCATAAAAATGCCACGTTAATAATTATACCTTATCTGTATAACACCTCTTTCCCCTCTCTTGCTGTTTTCTTTTTACTAAAACTCCCACGTACCATCTCCATTCTCTCCCATCTTTTTTTGCTTGTTTTTTTTTTTCGTCCCATGACACCTTTTTGGTTCTCATCTCCTGATAATTGCATTCGTTCTTCTCTCTTGTAAGTAGTCTTATATATAATGAGTATAGCCTCCCACTCATGTGTGTGTTTTTTTCTACATCTCTTTCATGGCTCTTTGTTCTTGTTTTGTTTTTTTTTCTTCGCGGCTTTACAGCGCGTAAGGGTTCAGAGAACGGATGGTGACGCAACTGTTCATATTGTTAGTAATGTTTCATTCGAAAAAGAAGATGTGACGGAATGACATAATGCAAGAGAGAGGGGGAGTTTCTTACGGAGGACTCTTGCTCAGGTCCGTCTTGAGGACAATGGGCAGACGGGTCAGCTCGGTGACATCCTGGATGTAGTCACCGCCTTCCTCGCGAAGGGTGAACAGCTTGAGGTACTTCTCCTTGTTCGTAAGGCGGGCTTCGACGGCGTCCGAAGCCGGCATCTTGGAGTCGGACTGCGTGCGGTGCAGGTTGCTGTCGGCGGCGTTGCTGTTGGCGGCCGTTGATCGGGCGGGCGATCCGGGTACGCTCTGCGTGGGCCTCTCGGCCAGCGACGCGCCGGCCATGGCCTCGGTCACGTCCGAGTTGTTGTCGTCGTCGTCGTCGTCAAAGAGGGCGTCGACGTCGTCCGTGGAGATGGTGCCGGTCTCGGTCTGCTTGCGCGCAGCCTCTTCGCGCTGGCGCTGTTGGCGCTCCGCCTCCTCGGCCTTCCTCTGCGCCGCGGCGGCGCTGTTCATCCTCTGCGAGGCGGCAGCCTTGGGGCGCTCGTCCTCGGGCACGTACGCCGAGCTGGGCACACCCTTCTCCCAGTACAGCTCGAGGATGCGCTTCTCCTTGCGGAACTCGGCCTTCTTGAGCGGCAGCTGGTCGCAGTGGACGCGCTTCTCGAAGCCCCACTCGGGGATCAGCACGTCAAACGCAGACTCGTAGACGCACAGCACGATACCCTCGGCAATCAGGTCGCCGTTCGACTCCTGGCGCTTCTTGTCCAGGGCGCGGCACGTCTCGATGTGCACGCTCTGCTCCTGGGCGTTCTGGGCCGACTCCTTCTTCGTGTTGACGGCCTCGACCGTCTTGACCAGGTTCTCCATCTCCTCCGTGTACTCAATCTTGCCCTCGGACAGCACCGCCTCGAGCTGGCGGTGGACGATGATGTCGGCGTAGCGGCGCGCGGGGCTGGTGAAGTGCGTGTACAAGGGGAGGTTAAGGGCGTAGTGGGGCCAGACGATCTTGGGGGTCTTGGCGGCGATGAAGTACTTGGCACGGTGCATAGACTTAATCAGGAGCGTCTCCATGCCCTGGCGGAGCTCCGGGTCGTCCACCTTGAACAGGCTATTCTGCACCGCACCGCTGCTAGACGTGTCAATGTCGTAGCCGAGGGCCGTCATGCGCTCGGCAAACGTCTGGAGACGCCTGGGGATGGGGGCGCCCTGGCGGCGGAGAAGGGCCTTCTCGGGCAGGCCCTCGGCCAGCTTCTGAGCAACAAAGGCGTTGGCCTTGTGCATGAGCTCCTCGACGAGCTCTAGAGCTTCGGTGGAGTCGAACAGGTTGTGCTGCACAGGGTTGTTCTCCTCGTCAATCTGCTGGAGGAGACGGAGGGGAGCGATGGGCTCGCCGTCAGCACCCAGACGGTTCTCCCTGAACTTCTGGGAGACGGCCTTGAGTATCTGGATGGCGCTGAGGGGGACAGACGAGCCGTCAACCTTGGAGGCATCGTCCAGGGCCTTGTCGATGTCGGACAGGGCCAGCTTGGCGGTGCTCTTGACGATGCTGCGGCCGACCCAGCTGTCGCCCTCGGCGACCGAGCCGTTGTGGGGGTTCACGGTGAATACGACGCTGACGGCGAGGCGGTCCTCTCCAGGAACGAGAGAGCACACCTCCTCGGTCAGCCTGGGCGGGAGCAGGGCGCAGAAGCGGTTGAGCAGCTGGACAGAGGTGCCACGCTTCTTGGCCTCCCGGTCGACCAGGGTGTTGGGCTTGACGAAGTGGGTGACGTCGGGGACGTGGATGCCGATGTCAACCTTGCCGTCGGGGCGGGACTTGACGTGGACGGCGTTGCCCAGCTCGGCGCCGCCACCCTCGTAGGCGAAGGTGTACAGGGTCTCGTCGCGGAAGTCTCGGCGGGCAGACAGAGCCTCCTCGTCCTCCTTGTCCAGGGACCAGTCCTGGAGACCAACGCTGCGCAGGACGGCCTCGGAGAACTCGTCCGAGGCAAAGTTGTTGTCGCGGAGGAGGGCATCCGTCTCGACCTTGAGGTCGCCCATGCGGCCGAGCTGCTCGACGAGGGTACCGAAGGGGTGGAGCGAGGTGATGGGCCAGCGCTTGATGCACGCGACAAAGATGCGGTCGGCGTACTCCTGGTGCTTCTCGACAAAGTCACGCGGGGCCTGCTCGGTGGGGATGGCAATGAGGGGAACGCGCTTGTCCGTAGGCTTGAACCAGACAATCTTGGGCTTGTCCTGGTGCCTCGAGTCGTTGTGGCGGCCGCTGCCACCGTCGCGGGCGGCACGCTCGGCCTCCTGCTTCTCCTTGGTGGCCTGGCTGCTGGGGCGCAGGAGACCCAGGGCACCAGAGAACATCTGGCCGGCGACACGCTCGATGACGGCGACGACGTGGCCGGCGTACAGAGGCTTCTGCTCGTCGCTGATCTCCTCCTCCTCGACGAGCAGGAGGCTCTGACCCTCAACCTCGACATCGTCATTCTTCTTCTGCGTGGGACGCTGACGGAGACTGCCGCGACGGCGGATGCCACCGTCGGCAGCACTGCCGTCGTCATTGTTACCGGTGTCACGGTGGCCCTGGTTGGTGGAGCCGGAGCGTGTGTCGGTGATGTCCTTGCGCTTCTTCTTCTCCTCCTTCTCGCGCTTCTGCGACCAGACCTCGTCGACGTCGAGGAGCTCGACAGCGACAAGGTCACCCTCGAGAGCACGGTTGCGGTCCTTGCTGCCGCAGATGAAGATATCGGCGTCGAGAACACCGTCCGAGGTGGTGACGTAAGCGTCGCTGCGGTTCTTCTTGTTGACGCGGAGGATACCGGAAACGAGCTGGCCGTCACCGAGGAGAGCGGGCAGCGAGGCCTGGGGCAGGTAAGGGGTGAAGAGGGTCTTGCGCTGCTGCTGGTTCTGCTGCTGCTGGTTCTGTCCGCCGAGCGGGCCGGCGTGCTGGGATGACTGAAGGCCCTGCAGCTGCTGACCATTCATCTGAGCGGCCTGGAGGGCCTGAAGCTGCTGCATGGGGTTGAGCTGCTGGCCGTACATCTGGGGCATCATCATCTGGCCGGGCATCTGCATAAGCTGAGGCTGGCTGTTGCTGTACTGGAAGCCGCCCATGGACGAGATGGACTGGTTCATGGAGCCCTGGGTACGGTGGCTGGGTTGGAAGCCCTGACCCTGAGCAGCAGCGCCGGCCTGCTGGTCCTGGCCCTGGCCACCACCGGTGCGCCAGTTGCCCTCAAAGTTGCGGGATCCGCTGCGGCCATGGCCGCCGCGACGGCCTCCAAAGTCACCAGCACCGCCACCCAGAGTGCCACCGCGACCGCCGTTGACAGCCATGCTCTGGCTACGACCGTGGCTGCCGCGGCCACCGCGAGCAGCGGCGGGGGGGGGTCCCATATCGCCAACCGGCCTGTTCTCCTCGTCGGCTTTGTCGGCGTTGGGGCCGGGGAACTGGAAGCCAGTGGTGGTGCGCTTCTGCTGGGCAAGCTCGGCGGCCTTCTTGGCGTCGGCCAGGGCGAGCGAGTGTCGCCTCTGGTGACCACCGCCGCCTCCGCGGCCTCCCCTGGCGGAAGATCCCTCACGGTTGTGACCTCCGCCTTGGCCGGCTCCAGGAGCCTCAAAGTTTCCAAATGTCGAGCCGGAAGCACCAGACGAGGGCGCAGGAGGGGGTCCCATGCCCATGTTGGGAAGGGCGGACTGGTTGCGGCGGTGTGGCATGGACTGGCCGGGTCCGGTGCCCATGGAGACGTTCTGCTGGGGAATCTGGCCGGGGGCGGGAAACTGGAAGCTGGGCTGCTGCAGGTTACCCATGGATTGCAGAGGATTGAACTGACCGCCGGCGGGTAGGGGCTGGCCCGGCGGAATCATGCCCATGTTGACATATTGCTGTTGCGTAGCTTGGATCTGTTGCTGCTGCTGCTGCAGAAGCTCAATCTGCTGCTGGATAGCCAATTGCTCCACTAAGAGGGTGAGATGGCATGGTTAGCGACGAGCTTCAGCTAGAAGATAAGGGGAACTGAGTGGCTCGGTACCAGCTCCGTCACGCCCGGGCCAGCCGATCGGGTAGCAACACGTGGGACCGATGACGGAACGAGTAGCCCTTTGAGTAGTATGGGGGGGAAGAGTCGACTCACTTCCTGGATTGGCAAACATGCTCATCAGAGGAGTCAGCTCGGAAGGACTCCGACGATGAGCAATGTGCAGCCGGCGACCAGCAGGGCCATGAACGCCACCAGTGTGCGAAGGCTGCTGCGGTTGCTGCTGCTGCTGCTGCTGCTGCTGCTGCTGCTGCTGGCCTTGAGGCCTCGGCTGCTGAGAGTTCTGCTGCTGCTGCTGCTCCTGTTGCTCCATTGTGGGCAGATCTAGACAGCAGTGCACAGGCAGAAAGGGAGGTTTTTGTGGTGGTTTATTTGGCACACGTCAGGTGTGGACAGTCGACAAGGCAGTGCTGTGTCGAGAGCAGTGTGTACAAGTAGCTGTTCTTTTGTTTTTTATAGTGCAAGAAGTTGATGACGGTTCTGGTCGTTGATGCTGGCAAGTTTTCCGGGTATCTTTGAGAGCTTTCTCGTTGCGGCAGGTACAAGAGTGTCGAGCGCGAGCGTGGGACGAAGCTACGGCGGCGGCGGCAACGGTCGTCGTGGAGGGGGGGGGATGGAAAAGGCAAGCTTTCGGGGGGGGAAAAAGGAAGGATCTTTTATCAGATTTGCTGTTATCGTTCTTTCGTGACGTTCGGTCGGAGGGACTG